ATTACAATTACAATTACAATTACAATTTTGAGTAGTTTGCAGAACCGGCAAATACCACCTCTGGCTGGCCCCAGAATGGGGTGGGAATTGAGATTTTGCAATATCCTTCCCCCAGGAGTGGGGAGGGAATGGGGATCTTGCAGTATCCTTCCCCTGGAGTGAGGTGGGAATGGAGATTTTACAGTATCCTTCCCCGCCACGCCCAGCAAGCCATGCCATCCCCACAGAACCGGTAGTAAAAAAAATTGAATTTCACCACTGATCTACAGCCAAATCTTGTCCTATGGCATAAAGGAGTACCCACAATGTGTGTGTGTGTGTGTGTGTGTGTGTGTGTGTGTGTGTGTGTGTGTGTGTGTGTGTGTGTGTGTGTGTGTGTGAATTTTCAGTGAAGAGGGATTGTATATGACTGAAAACTGAATTTTCTTTTCTTTCCGGGTAAGGAATACACACAATTCTATTCATGGGGGGAAAAGAGATACCATTTGAGTTCTCAGTTCACTCAAAGGTCATACCAAAAACGTTATTTCAGCACTGCTTTTTCAACAGTTTTATTGCCTTTGGCATCTTTTTTTGTAAAATATAAATACAAAGGCAGAAGAATTTACGTACAAAGTTCAAACACAAATCTCAAACATAAACACACAATTCAGAAAAAGATTTAGCTTCTGTACAGTTTTAAACAACTTCAACATAGGTTAGTTTTCAGTATTTTACAGAAAAATAGTTCAAAGTTTTCTTTTAAATAAAGAGGATCAAATGTTTAAACACACACATATAAAATGTGTGTGTTTGTGTATCTATACATATATATATATTTATATATATATATATAAAAACAATCCAGTTTGCCAGGTGAAAACTAAATTTCACGTCTTTAAATTAAGATATAAAAGTTCACACAATTAGTAGATGTGCATGTGTATGGTTTTAAATTATATTACAGTCTACTGAATTGTATTCAATTGTGTGTACCTGGTCAAAGTAGGATTTTTTGTAAACAAAAACAAAAATATAATGAAGTGCCTTCCCCAATAAACTTTCCCAATATTGATCACATCACCTTTATGGCATCTTTATGCCTATTTGTTTGAAGCAAAGCCATTTTTTAAAAGTTCCATGTAAAAACAATTCTATACCAAAATTCGTCTGCACTTAAAAGGAACGTGCATACACCTTTTACCAATTTTATAATTTGTAAAAACAAAGTGGTCTCTTTAAAAAAAATCTTCCAAAAATCCACCCATCTGATAAATTTGTGTGTTTGTGTGTATATATGTATATTAGAGGAAAGTTCTTTTATTTAACAGTATCCTTTTCTTTATAGAAATAACTGCAGTAACACATATACATAAAGAAATATCTTACACAGAACTGTACATTAAGAAGCTGGGAGATTCACCAATAAATATCAGTTTCTTCATCTGGGTGCAACCATTCAAGTGAGGCTCCAAGCAAAGATTGTAATTCATTAGTAAATTCTACCAAGTCCAACAGTTCCTTGCCTTCTGGGTTGAAAGCTTCAAGATCCTTTTGGCAAGCAAACAGCTGACTCAAAGACACCTGTTTGAAAAATTCTGCTTCTGTAACACTGATAACTTCTAAACTTGGGAAACTGCAGCGAAATATCCTAGGTGACATTTTCAGCCTCTTGGCTACATCAGAGAGCAAAAACCAGTTCCGTGGTCTAGAGACAAAAGTAAAATATTGACAAGATGCTGAAAGGTTTCAATCAACATGGTTCAGCTAGTAATAATTTTAAATACATTTATATTTAAGAAAAAGATATTTAAAAAATAGGTTAGTCTCTGTACTCTTCCATCCTCTTCCTACTCCCTCTTCCAGTAAACTCATGAATGAAATCTAGTTTTAAACAAGCGAACATCTGTTCACACAATGGGACAGTATTTTTTCTTTCTCCCCTCCACATGCCCTGCTCTCACACCAATCTTGGTCTGGATTCATAAGCTTCACCAAGCCACAAGTTTTTCCCTGTGAATATGTCTGCAATATCAGCATATATTCACATACATAGATTTACTGAATATGAACAATTCTTGTTTTAAAGAAGCCAATCTATGGGGGAGTTTTAATGTTCAAAACACATAGGATATGAAACCTATTTCTAACATAATAAATAACAAAAGGTTCACTGCATTCAGTGAGGCAAAAAGATGATCTTGAATATGTCAATAATAACTCAGATATTTGTACATTAACATACACTGGGGAAACAATTTATCTTCCCCTCCAATATAAACAATAATAGTGCTTACCCTTGAGAAAGAGACACTTGGATGTTATAACATACCAAGAGAGGCACATCTGAGAATTCAAACTCAAAGATATCACTAAATCCATCTTCATCTTCATCATTTGGGCCAGGTGGATTAGATAGAATATCAAATCCTGATTCACCTTTTGGCTCTATTTAAATAAACAAAAAAATAATTGAAGATCCTTTGTCAAATAGTGGCTTTTTTCTCTTCCCTTCCCTTTTTTTTAAATTTGATCTCCCTTCTGTGAATTCTATCCCCCTCCCATACATATACATGCACACATTTGAAATAATAGAACCCTGCACCCCCCACCACCACCCCAAAACATGTCTTCTTACCACACACAGAGCTGCCATAGAAGTCCCAGGACAAGCCAGGCTCATCAACATCATGACCTTGAAGATCAGTTAAATATTCTAGAGAGATACAACAATATAACATTGAAAAATTTGGGAAGTTTTGCAATCTATCATAGCATGATAAAATATAACCCATAGAGGTTTTATGCTTATCTTAAAGCATACAGTATTAACATAAATTATCAGAATACAGCAGAACTCTTAAGTAAAGTAATATCAGGTATCTCATTTCTTTTCTCATCTCATTTCTCATTTCTTTTCAAATATAATTATTATACATTTACTTTTCAACAACCTCCAAATCCTACTTTTAGTATTCAGTTTTGTGTGCTTCAAATTGATTGTGGAGATATTGAGCTATAAAAGTTAGGCTATAATTGCTACAGATACATTGGTTTCACACAATCAGGCCAAGATCTTCACATCTTCATCACTAGACCTTTTTTTGATGCCTTGAACTTTGAAAGTACAATTGACAATGCAAACCTGAACTTATTTGATGATGAATGGGAGTGTACGAGAATACACATGAGTTGTAAGGTAAACACTCAAGAGTTGTTTGACAGTGAGATGGCAGGCAGGCAGGCAGGCAGGCAAAATGTCACCAGGAGCTAAGGTGCCCCGTAGCACACCGTTTTGATCCATGGTACCTCAGATAAGCTAACTTACAGAATGTGCCCAAAATCTAGGACCCAGGACTCACATGGAAACATTTTATGGCATAAAATTATCATAAAACAGTTTCTTCCATAATGTCATAAAACATTTTCTGTTTTAACTATGAGAACTCCCCCAGCTCAAGTATGTACACCATTAATGCTATTCTTGCTTTTTTTTAGTATTTGTTGCTTTGTTCATTTTAATTGTTAATTGCATTAATACTCAAATAAGACTATTTTGTTTGGGGAAAAAATAACTTTTGTATTTCCAATTGCAAAAGAGATAAATGGAAATGTATGAAAAAGAGGAAAGCAGTATACTAATTGAAGAAATGTCCATGACTGTACATTTCATACTGGTTATTCATACGTCTCTCACCCCATTCCAAAATTTAAATAACATCATAATATTGGCCACTGTTGATAGCCACAGATGAAGAGATCTGTGAGCTATCTTCAAGACTAAAGTACTAACATTTTAACTCACAATATTCATACTGTGAAAAAATACACAATATTTAAATACTGTATTAAGTACTGTGTATTTCTGTTGTAAGTTAAGCAACAAAGTATCAGAAACCCACAATCCTTACTTTTACTGTTATCTGAAAAGTAATTTATGTTTTGTAGAATATCACATTGCAAATGGACAACCATTGGCACAATCAAAAGAATACACACCTGTTAGAAAAGTCTCCATTAGTTCACTGTGTGTCATTTTCACAATTGTTCTACCTGAGTATGTAGCAAGCGTAGGGTCAGCGCCATAAGAAAGGAGCAATCGGACAATTTCTAGGTGATCATTTTCCACTGCATCATGGATAGGCCTTACAAAGGGAAGAAAGAAACTTTTGTTTTAAATCCATGCAACATAATAAGTTATGTTCTGTCTCCATTTAAAGCAAGAAGTATGAGCACATGATGAGGAAGAGGACTACTGCACAAAGTGCTTTTCTCACATTTTAAAATATATTATTAATGTCAGGAACTGAAACTAATATACTCTATTAAATAGCAAGCTCCTTGGAGAAAGTTATGTTTAAATAGACATCACTTGGAACAAAAAATCAAATCCCATAGTATTGGCATATTGTTATCAAAGGTTTTATGTATGTGTAAACAATATATTGAGCATTCACATCATTTACTTTGTAAAATTTAAGACCTCAAAAATCCAAACAAATAGCTGCCTTAATATTTTTCTATTTTATACAAACTTAGTTTTATTCAAAATGTACAATAACAATTAACAACCTCTGGCTTATGAATCAAGAAAAAAGTAAAAACTATATAGGTGAAATTAACAATTATTGGTTGAAACCCTTAGAAATAAAATACATAAAAAATTATGCTATGTTTTGCTGAATAATTTCTTAAAATATGTCTAAATGACTAAAGATATCACACATCTTTAGGGTTGTGGATAAAAAAGAGATCTTCACTCAATGGATTTATAGAGGACAATGAAGCTAGAAGCAACTATTTTTGGTTAGAATTATTTTAATTTGCTTTTTCTGAATCAGAATTCTGATATTAGAGTCAAAAGGCATAATAATTCCAAATCCTAATATTGTTAGAAATCTCTACAAAATAGAATGTGCACACAGGGCTTAACTGAGAGCTGGTATTAATTAAAGCCAAAAATAAAATGGCATCTGTTTCAATTTTATGTATGAGATCCACCTGGACTAGCAACTAAATCTTTATTCAGCACTGATGCCTAAAGGTTTTCCTCACTTAAAGACAGTATTTGGGACCAGAATTTCCATTGTTAAATAATACGATTATAAAGCATAATATCACAAGACAGTGTTGGGTTTCAAAAAACTTTAGAACCTATTCTGTAGGTGTGGCCTATTTTGTAGGTGTGGCTTGGTGGTCATGTGACCATGCGGGAGTGGCCAACTTGTAAAATGTGGTGAAACTCATTTAACAACGCTCTTGCTTAGTAACCAAAATTTTGGGCACAATTGTGATCGTAAGTTCTCTTTTTCTTTCTTTCCTTTCTTTATTGTATGTCTCTCTCCCTCTTTCTTTCTTCCTTCCTTCTTTCTTTCTTGTCTCTCTCTCCCCCACTTTCTTTCTTCCTTCCTTCTTTACTGGGTCTCTTTCTCCAGCTTTCTTTCTTTTTCCGTCTTTCTCTTTCTATCTGTCTCTCTCTTTTCTCTCTCTCTCTCTCTCTCTATCCCTTCCTTCCTTTCTCTCTTACCCTTTCTCTTTCTCTCTCTCTCTTGCCCCCCCCCCACACAACTTCCAGTTGGCAAAAATTCATTTTGCCAGCAGGGAGACTGGCAAAGAAGCCTCGTTTTCCCCTGCCGCCCGCAGCTCTTGGAGGAAGGAGGCACGGAAGCGAGCCACAGGCCTCATCTCTGCCTCCTTCCTCGAGAGCTGGCTTTGAGGACAGCCAGCCTCTCCCGCCACTGCACCCTTCACTTGCCTTCTACCCAGAGACTCTGTCGGTGGTTGCCTCCCAAGAGAAGCTCG